CTCCCCACCCTGTCCACTACGGCAAGATGGGCACAAGCCAGGCCTTGTACAAGTACAATGCGCCCCTCGCCCACCCCCTTTTTCCCCTGGACCCACCTGCAGGTCGTCCACCAGCTTATCGCGCAGCTCCTCAGCCACCAGCCCCTGGCCCCCAGCCGCCACCGCCCAGCCGTTCTTTGAGAAATGGTACTTCATCTTGCCCTTGCCGCCGGCGACGGTGTTCTGCGTGGGCGGACGAGCGCGTGTCCGACATCGGAAGGTGTTGCTGATAGGAGAGCCCAATGCTCGACCTGCGCGGCAGCCGGGGCCGCCGACGGCGAGCAGGAGCCCTCTAGCCGGCAGGCAGGCAAAGGCACCCCTAGGCAAAGCCGTCTGCCGCCTGTCATGGCCCCGACCTGCAGCATGTCGTAGTACTTGGTCTCCCACACGCACGGCTCCCCGTTCACGGTGATGCCAAACGCCTCGAAGGCGCCGTTATAGGCGCGCCTGCGAGGCGACGTGGATCGCAGCGAGGGCCCCGGGCTGCTTTGGCGCGCGGGCTATGGGGGCCAGTACGGTGCCAGGCGCTGCGCGCCGGGTGCCGAGGTGTGCGCGCATGCTGCTGCATGCTGCGTCCCTGCGCGACGCATGCTTGTGCCTGGTGCGTGCATGCACGCTGTTCAACCCTATGCAATCAACCAACCTGCCGGGAATGGCCCGAAAGCCACTTGGACTCACCTGTGGAGGTCCTCTGTCTCCACAATCACGCCGTCGCAGTCAAATATGAGCGCCGCAGTGGGCTTCGTCGCCGCAGCCGCGACGACTGCAGCCCGCGCGGCCCGCTGCACCGCGTGCTGGCTTGGGGAGGGCGCTGCCGCAGCGCGGCGGACGCCCCTGGGCACAGCGGCAGAGAACGGCGCCGGGCGCATGCAGCTGGGCGCTGCGGCCGCAGCAGGAAGGGTTCTCAAAAGCATGATGATTGCCGTGGATGATTCCGCGCGTCAATGAGCTAGATGGCAGTGGGATGGCTCGCGTCCAGGTGCCTCGAAGTGGTGAGTGCGCGGTCAGACCCTTCGTAAATTTGTTCTGCACAACTACAATTCAAAAACAGTTCACCACCAATCGGAGGGTTGGGTGATCTGTTGGTCACCAACTCACTTGGCGCGGGGTCACGGGCCCAGTCAAGTAGTCCAGGCTTGACAGTGATGAAGGCTTGACTACAAATCTTTCAAGGGATCTTGTCACGTCAGCCTGCAGATGCACGCTGTTGAATGGTACGGTTGACCTCGCTATGCTCATGTCCGCACGCGTTGACCTCTGCTCTCGGCATGGCAGGGCGGCATCGCTGCTGCGCTGTGATGCGCGCATGCTATAGATGTGCCCACGTGCTTGCTACCAGCAACAATGGGTCACAAGAGCGGCCAGTTGGAGTTCTCAATGCGCATGTGCTTGTTTAACCCAGAACCGAAGGCACATGGCATGCTTGGTCGGACATCAGTGGTCAACTCTCCTCTGCCCAATCCAGGGAAAAAGCATAATTACAAAGAAAATTGCGGAAGATAGTGCAAGCGATACAGATCAACGCCATGGAGGGGGTACTGCGTGACAGCAAGACCCCCTCCACACCCCCAACAACAGCTGTCTCACCCCGAACCACCATGCCGCTGCGTCACCGTGACGCCCGCGCTGCAGGCGTGCCAGGCTGCTCATCGCCGCGTCGAGCCCGCTTGGCCGCAGGCGGGCCTGACCCGGCTGGCGCTCCTGAGCCCCCCTCCTCACCGCCACAGCCGTCTGCCGCCAGCCGCCTGGCCTCCTTGGCACAGCCGGCCGCCTGCCGCTCCGCCGCCTCCGCCCCCGCAAGGGCGCGCCGCAAGCCCTCGACCCGCACGCGCGCACACTCCTCGGCCGCCGCGTGCAGCGCGCGCAGCCGCCGCGCCTGCTCTGCTGCTGCGCAGCCAACCTCCTTCAGCCGCCCCCTCTCTGCTGCGACCTGCGCCTGCAACCGGTCGCCCTCCTCGCGCAGCTGCCGCAAGCGCAGCTGCTCGTCCTGCAGCCGCTCCTGCTCCTCCGCGCTCTGTTCCATCAGCCCTTGGAGCCGCCTCTGCTCGTCCGCCGTCTTCTGCAGCAGCCGCAGCAGCCGCGCCTGCTCCGCCTGCATCAACTCCCCTGCGGAGGCTGCCTGCGGGGGTGCTGCCGCTGGTGGCGTCTGCTGGCTGCCGCTTGCGGCCAACTCCCGCCGCCGCTGCAGCTCCTGCTCTGCGGCAAACGCCTGCCTCTCCAACTCCAGCAGCCGCTCCTCCTCCAGTTTGCGTTGCATCTGCAGCCGCTGCACCCTCTGCTCCTCCTCTTCCCTCTGTTCTTGCAGTTGATGCAGCTCAAGTTGCACTTGCCCATGGTGCTGCTCTTGCTGCTGCTCCTGCGGCGGCTGGCTGCCAGCGGCCGCCTGCGCGGGAGGCGCAGGTTGCTCGACGGCGGCTGCCGCCTGCACTGCCGCCTGCGCCGCCGCCTGCGCCGCAGCCTGCCCCTCCTCCGCACAGAGCAGCCCAGACAGCAGCGCCTCTTCCAAAACGGACAGCTTTCGTTTGGGCCGCGCGCCGGCTTTCAGCAGTGCGACCACGCACTTTTTCGCCTTTGCGGCCAGCGCCTTGGACAAGGCGCCCTCCTTGTCGCTGGTGATCAGGCGAACCGCCTGTCGCCTCTCCAGCAGCAGGGTGAGCACCTCCCCCTGGTCAAACTGTATGGCCGCGTCATGCGCGCGCTTGCCGTCGCGCGCGGCCGCCCAGACGTCCGCGCGGCGCCCCAGCAGCGCACGCGCCGCCGCCGCCGCGCCCTCGGCCGCGGCGACCGCGAGCGCCTGCTGCCCGAGCTTGTCGGCCGCCGCAGCATCGGCGCCGGCGTCGAGCAGCAGCTCCAGCGCCGCCGCGTCGTCCTTCTGCGCGGCGCAAAAGTGAGGCTGCCAGCCGTCCTTGTTGCAGGCGTCGGCGCGCGCGCCGCGGGCGATCAGCAGCCTCAGGGCGTCCGCGCGCCCGTGGGCGGCTGCATAGTGCAGGCACGTGTCGCCGTCGCCGTCGGCCGCGTCAATGTCGGCACCGGCGTCGAGGATCGCCGCGAGCGCGCCCGCGTGCCCGCCCTCCGCCGCGAAGTGCTGCGCCAGCGGCCGCGCGCCCGACGGGTGCGGCGCGTCCCAGCGCGCGCCGGCGGCGAGCAGCAGGCGCGCGGCCTCCTCGTTGCCGGCGCGCGCGGCGTAGTGCAGCGGCCGCCAGCCGTCCGCGTCCACGGCGTTGGCCAGGGCTGCGGCGTCTTCGGCGGACTCGAGCAGCACCCTGAGCGCGCCCGGCGCCCCGCCTGGCTCCGCCGCCGCGATGTGCGCCGCGGTGAGGCCGTTTGGCACGGCCGCGTCCGCGCGCGCGCCGCGCGCGAGGAGGGCGCGCGCCGCGGCCGCGCGGTCGCGGTGGGCGGCGACGTGCAGAGCCTGCCAGCCGTTGCGGTCCGCGGCGCGCGGGTCCGCGCCGCTTTCGAGCAGCAGCAGCACCACGGCGGTGTGGCCGCCGCCGGCCGCGTACAGCAGCGGGTGCATGCCGTCGCTGTCGGTGTCGTCGACGGCGGCGCCATGACTCAGGAGGGCCTCGCACACCTCTAGGTGCCCCTCGTCGGCCGCTAGGTGCAGCGGGCGCCTGCCGTCCCTGGCGGCGCTGCGCGGGTCCGCGCCGCACCGGATCAGGAGCTCGACTACTGCGGCGGCGCCGGCCGTGGCGGCCTCGTGAACGGCCTGCCAGGCCTGGTCGTCTGATGGGTCGACCGCGTCGACCGGCGCCCCGGCGTCGAGCAGGCGCACGACCTCGGCCGCGTTCCCATCCTTTGCGGCCTGCAGCAGCGCCGGCTTGGCGGCGCCCGCCTGCGGTGGGTGGCGGTGGGCGGCGCCGCTCGCGGTGAGAGAGAGCGGCAGTCACGACGCTCGCAGGAGTGTGTGCGACTGTCTCTATGACGAATTCCACTACCGCACAAGATTTTTACACGGCGCTACTACTGATGTTTCCTTTTGCATACCCGGTACAGTACCTGCTCGCAAGACATGTCGTGATCTCCGGAGATCTTTGGTCTGTGCGCACGACCGTCGCTGCAACGTACCTTTACGCAAGGTTAACGCTTTGACCTATGGAATCAAAAACAACGCACGCAACTTGCGCGCTACACAGGGGACATCCAGGTGCGTTTCGGGCAGAAAGTCCTGCACCCCGACCTTGGCCCAACATCAACTTGCAGGTACAGTATAAACTGATGGTGCGGCGGCATCTGTGGGCGCACCCAGCCTTGAGAGTCTGTTATATATCGGGAGGCAAACACTTAGGATGTGAATCAGGTTGCTGTTATCAATTTGAAGTTGTACGAGCGGTACTGGTTGTTGCCAGTGCCCTGCAGCTGCCGTCATGTCATCGCTCTTCGCTGCCTGGAGTGGCGTTCTTGCAAACAGAAATATGCACATAAGCTTTAACTAGTCACAGCTGTGGGCGTACCCTGATTGAGTGCTCTTGCAAAAGCCCCCAATAATCTGGGTGTGGGCATCAGGCACGCACGGACAGGCTAGACCGGTACGGTCGCGCCGGCTCATGGGATTGACCGGTCTTCACAACCCAGGCTGGCCTGACCTTGATGTGCCATTCAACGCAATCAAGTGTCTCACCCCATTGTTTGAACGTCTCCAGCTTGTAAATGTTTTGGCACATCATAGCCAGCTCGAGCTGCCTTCAGGCTGCAGGACTGGAGTGGTGTTGCTCAGGCAGCCTATTGTCATTCAGGGTTCCGGTTGAGCGGCTATCAAGGACTGCGACAACATTCGCCCTGCAAGGTGAACAATCACCAGCTTGAATTCCCACGAGAAGGAATATTTTGAAGCCTTGACTTACAAACAAAGTATGCGACTTGTGCGATATGATGTATTAAACAGGGGACCAACAGGTGCGTTGGGGCAGTCCTGCACCCCAACCTGAGCACAACTCAAGAATGTCACCTTTTGGACCTTTTCGTCATCGCATTCGCGTTCGACCACGTTTTTTTCTGCAAACCGCCATACAGTATAAAACAATTCTGCACCTTTGCAGGGGCTGGCGGCATTTGCTGCCGCCAGCTTTCCGTGTTTTTCAGAATGTATATGCGCACGGTCAGCTCTATCTTGCCGCCTCCTGCCTTGGCTGTCGGGAGGGCGTTCGGTCATTGGTGCCCAGCGGCATGCGGCGCGCCCTGGGGCACGTCCCTGCTGGGGGGGGGGGTACGCTGGCAACCCAGTGTGTTGTGAGGTGCCGCAATGACACCTCATGACCAAACCACCAAGTGTACTGTATTTCAGTTGTAAGAAACCTTGGCAGTTCTTATGCAACTCCGCCAGCAACGCGGCTGGTACAACACTAGTTTGCTGCTGATGCTGATGCTGCCGCCGCCGCTGCCGCTGCCATCGCCGTGCATCTAGCTCTGTCAGCTTGCCTCACAGAACCTACCGCATCGTGGGGTGTGGGCCATGACGTGCACTGTATGATTTGATTCATCGACTGAATCCAGTGCATTCTGTTGTTGGTTGACCACGTGGAAGATGTATACATGCAGCTGCCCTCCACTTCGCAAGACTCACCGAGCAGATCCGAGCTCAAATGCAGCTTTCTCAATTCACTTCACCGACCCTGCTCGACTTTCAGATCAACAAGATCGCGCTCAACTCAAAGCCGCACGCGCTATTCTCATCGTACGGTGACCTGTGCACCCAGTGATAACACAGCCGCAGTCATCGACTTGGCGAGCAGTGTAGACACACACCGCTGCGCGATCGGGCGCTGCCAACGCGCAGCAGTATTGTCATCATGGAGCCCGCAGTGCGCTTCGAGCGCCTGATCCGCATGCTTTCGGACGGCAGTGCAGCCGCCAGCAGACTGGAACAGGAAGTGGTGCGCTTAGAGAGCTGCCTCTCAGCTGTCACAGCCTCGTTCTGGCAGTCCGCCCGGCCCGACACATTCCAACGTGTGGCGCTGCTGATGGCCGACGGCCCCCATGCGAGGGCCGCGGCGCGGGTGCTGGCTGCATGCATTCCACATTTGGCGAGGTTTTCGGATGCTGCAGCGGCATTTGCTGGGCTGCAGGTGGCAGCAATCGCGCGGGCAGCGGCATCTGCGTTTGTTCGCCTGCATACCACCACCTCGACCCGGGAGAAGGCCAGGCTCATGTACCTGGCAACGTTGATAAACCTGTGCTTTGCGGACGCGCCGCCGGATGGCACCAGCAAGACCAGAGAGTTCTCGCATGAAACTCCCAAGAGACGCGTACAGGCGGCGCTTGATGCCGCTCCCGGCCTCATCACTGCATTGCTCTGCGCTGCAGTCCCCGCTTGCGCCGACGACCTGCCCTCTATTACGCTGGGCTCAATAGCAATATCAGTAGCCGGCGCCGTGTGCTCCGTCTTGAGAAAGAAGGGCGCTGGTGGCCCCTGGCTGCCTGCCGGGCTCGCCGCGCAGATTGACGCGTCCGCGGGTGACCTTGCGACTCTGCTGGCGGCCTGGGCCCCCGGCCGCCCGTGCACGAGTGCAGCGGCCGCGGCAGGAGCTGCTGTCGACGCGGGTGTCACCGTCGACAGCCTGCGGCTGGTGGCGGCGTGCGCGGCCGAGCGCCATGGCGCCACATGCGCGGCGCTCCTCGCCAGCCCTGACGCTGTAGAGTGCATTGCGGCGGGCCTGCTGCGCGGCTCACCCATCCATGGGCCACCAACCGTCGAGGTCGCCCTGAAGACCCTCAACGCTTTATTTGAACACAACAAGTCGCTTGCTGCGGAGGTGTGCTGCAACGCGGGGGGCGGCGTCGCCGTCAAGTACATGCTGCAGCTGGCGGCGGGCTGCGCGGCGGCCAGAAGGGACGGCGGCAGGCCCGCGCCCACAGGCTGCCCAGAGTCAATGTTCTCAAGCCCCAGCTATGCACGGCATCTCGCACCGTGTGCGGCTCAGCAACTGCTGCTCGCACTAGAAAGCCCCTGCGAGTTCATGTCCTGCATGCGCCGCTTCCCTGCGGCGCCAGCGCTCGTGTGCAGCATGCTCCGCGACGGGCTGGAGGGGCCGGCGATGTGCATTGCAGACGTCGCGTGCGAAATCATCCGGAGGGCGTTCCTGTTCAAACATCACCTGCCTCTTCGCGACATCTTCGTGCGGCTGGGTGCTTGGCCGCTGCTGCAGCGCGTGCTGGCATCAAACACTGCTTTTGCCACCATGCGGCGCACCGCCGCGGAGACGGCGCTGCGGCTGCTGTACTGCGCCGATGACGCGGCGCGCAGCCCCGCCGAGCGCCAGCAGCTGGCGCGCCCGGCGTGGTGCTGGCTGGTCTCGGAGGCAGCATCCTGCAGGGGTTGCCCAGAGGCGGCGAGGAGCCTCTTCCTGCAAGCCGCCCTCGCTTGCAGCCCCGCGTGCCTGCCCGATCTGGCCGCGCAACCGGGCGCGCTGACGGTGGCGGCGGCCGCAACTGTGTACGGCCCGCCGTGCTATAACGCTGCAGGGCAAGGGCTGGAGTTGCTGGAGCAGCTGGCTACCTGGGCGTGGCGCGACGCAGGCGGCGATGAAGGTCAAGATGGCGTCGTCAACTGCAGTATTGCGATGACCCCCTGGTCCAAGCTCAACGAGCACACCTTGGCTTCGCTGCATCCGACCTTCGATGCCAAGGCACGCGCCGCCCTGCGCGTGCTGGAGCGGCACAGAGACGGCTGCATTGCGGCCGACGCACGCGACGCGCACTCGATGCTGGTGGGGGCCGAGCTGGACGCCGCTGTTCAACAAGAGGACAGGGGACGACGGGCTGCCAAACGCACAGCCGCGGCGAATTGCTGAAATTGGCGGAGCGGCGGCGGCTGCGGCGGCGGCGGCGGCATCAGGCAGCCAGCTGGAGGGCCGGCGGGTGCAGGACGAGCTAGAGGGGCAAGACCAGCAGCTCGGCGCTGACGGATGGGTGTCAGCGGGAGCGACAGCACCAGAGGCGGCAGCTCCCGTGGAGCAGCGCAGGGCGTCGCTGCCGCGCAGGGCCTGTGCCACGTGTGGCAAGGCCGCGGGCGTGGATGGTGTGAAGCTGCAGCGGTGTTCGGGCTGCGACGCCGCGCGCTACTGCGGCAAGGAGTGCGCCAAGGCGGGCTGGAAGGCGGGGCACCGCGAGGAGTGCAAGGCGGCGCAGCTGAAGAAGCAGCAGGCAAAGGCGGGGTAGGAGTGAGCGGGTGCTTTGTTGTGACCATCAATCATATTGCGAGTGCGGATTTGCGTGTTTCTGTGTTCTGTAACTAGACCCTAATCACTGCCAACGCAGCTTTGATTGCAGCAGCTGTGGTGCAGGGCAGCAGCAATGCAGATGAGGAACTTGCTCACTCGAAGTCAGCTGAATTGCTTTGGCCTGCCGGCAACCACATGGGTGATGTTGCCCCCACATCATCCAGAATTGCTTTGAACAGCATACTGAACAACCATTTGCAAGGCGACTATGAAGCGTGTCAACGTGGGCATCAGCAGCAAAGGCCGGGGCAGTTGAAATGTGAGTCATGTTTCAGGGAGCCAGCATACCGGTCCTGGTGCAACATATCTCCGCTTGTACAGCAAAGCCAAACACATGCAATGCATGCATGTAGTAAAGGTGTATAAATGGGATCAAGCATAGGAACAGCTCGTTGCACAACTCCACATGACAGACAGTGGCAACCAACTTCCCACAAAGCGCTACCATGGCTTGGCGCCATATTTGAGACACAGGCAAGCGGTGGTGCTCACAAACCCATACCGAGCATGCGCCAGCAGCCATCATGCCATAGTTGACAGTTGAATATTTCAGTGCTTATTTCAATTGTGGCTGTTGACAGTACCGTACTGTACCGCGCTGCTTTCTGCGGCGTGTCCGTCTAGAAATCAAGCATGTGTCTGTTCATCTGATTTGGTTGTTCACGCTGCTTGTGCTGGGGGCACAGCACGGGCATCGTGCTAAATTCAACGCTGCGTTTGTGAATCTCCACACTGAGATCTAGATACTTGCAAATATACATCCGCAACAGTTGTGTTGTCGAACGCGCCGTGGGCCAGTCACCCAGGCAGATTGATGAGCGGCCATGAAGGACTGTGAAGCCCACAATCGTTTGGCATGTAAGTTCAATACACCCATCTAGCTGTGCAGCTTACGAAGCTGCCTTCATCAGGCTGCAGGACTAAGGTCAAGGCAGCCATTTGTCATCCACTCAGGTTGAGCAGCTATTGAGGACTGCGAAGCTCACAACCTTTGCCCTGCAAGACAAATAGTCACCATCTTGAAGGTGTGCAGCTCACCAGCCAAGCCCGCACACATGCGGGCAACAACAGTACGGTATCGGGTTCCGACAAGTGAAGACGCCACGACATCGACGTTCGCAGGCTCCTTAGCTCTCAAAGTACTTGGAGGATTGAAAAGCCTGTCGTAGCATCAGCTCCCGACCTTGATCATCGGCAGTGATATGGATCCCGAGCTCGCCGCGCTGGTGGAGCAGCACAAAGAGCACTTTGCTTTCGAAAACGGCAAGGTCAAATGCCTCCTCAACGGCCACAGCTTCCCCGCGCGGCTGGACCTTGTGGAGGCGTTCACCAGGTGGGTGTTGCTGCAGCACCAGCAGGCGCGCTCGCTGTCAGCCGCCGCTGCGGCGCGCTCGGGGACTGGCGCACTTATGGCCTGCAGCTGGCTTGATAGGCTTTGATGCAGTTGCGTTGCCAGACGGCGCTCGCAGCGGCACTCCATGCTGCCCTCGTGCGCAGCGGCAGCCACTCCAACCGCAGGGCTCTGCATCTTCGCCCGTCTTAGGCTGTGCCCTCACACCGCGCCCTCTTCTGCACCTCCCCTGCTGCCCTTCGCTCCTGCAGGGGTAGCAAGTATGCTAAGCTGCTGCAGCGGCATGAGGCAGAGCAGGGCCTATCAAAGTACGAGCCCTTCATTGTGCCCAGCAATAACTTCCCGTGAGCAGTTTGCCTCTTGGTCCTGGGGCGCATGGGAACGGCGGCCGCAGCCGGCCTGCACTGGTGCTCGTGGGTATGCTGTCCACGCATATGGCCCCAATGATATCCAGCTGCCAGGCTTGCTACAATGCAGCGGGTACTGCCAGCACTGCTGCGGCAGCTGACAGCAGTCGCTCATCAGCCACCATCCCGCCTTGCTCACGCCGGTGCGCCTTGCTCACGCCGGTGCGGCCTTGTCCGCTCCAACCCCAGCCCCACGCAACGCATCTTTGCGCCCATCCGGCGCCCTGCCCACCGCAGCGAGATGCTGTACTGCGCGCTGACGGGGCAGCTGATCGCCAAGACGCTCGAGGCTGTCAAGCTGCATATGAAGGGGAAAAAGTTCCAGCGCGCCAAGGGTGGGTGCCCCTGGGGGACTCTGAGGGGGAGGCTTGTGGGCACAAGGGGAGGCCTTGCAATCCTCAAATCCCCTTGAGGCCTGTATGGCCTGGTGGGTCTTGGTAAGGCGCGTCGTGCTTGTGGCGTTGTCACTCCTGGACAAGCAGAGCGCTGTGCCAAATCAGGGCGGCGTGGGAAATGGCGCGCTTTGGAACGCCTCATTGCTGGATTGTTGGCCCTACAGCTGTGTCATATCCTGCGCTGCCCCTTGCACGGCTCTAAGATTTGCATCGCCCCCTGCCGTTGCTCTGCACAGAGCGGTTCACAGCAGACGAGATCGAGCTGCGGCCGGAGCCGACCCTCGAGTCGTTTGGCATAAAGGTGCCAAAGCAGGAGGGAGGCGCGGAGGACGGCGATGAGGCAGGCACCAGCGGCAGCAGAGGCGTTAAAGGGAGCAAGAAGCCGGCACCGAAGGGCCAGGGGGAGCGGGGCGGCGGCGACGAGGAGATGGGGGGCGGGGAGGATGGGGGTGATGAGGATGAGGAAGAGGAGGGCGGCTTCTGGGTGCCCGAGGGGGTCGAGTCTTCGGAGGAGGAAGACGAGGAGGCGGGCGGCAGCAGTGGCGCGGATGACGGCGTCGACGGCGCGATGCTTGGCAGCGACGACGAGGTCGACGTGGGCGCGGCAGGTGGGGCTGGGTGCTCGGTGGCGGCCGCAACGGTGGGCGGCGTCGTGGCCGCGGTCCTAACCTTTGCATGCATGTTAGCCGCGCTGCGCAGCGGCGTCCAAGCGAGCCGTTGTCTGAGAACGTCTCCGATTGCCCACTTGGATTTTCAGGGGAAGCAATGGACGAGGACGAGCCCAGCCCCAAGCCGGCACAGGCGCAGCAGCAAACAGGAAAGCCGAAGGGGCAGGGGCGGCGGCTGGGCAAGGCGGCGGAGGGGCGGAAGGCGAACAAGCAGGGGCAGCCGCGGCAGCAAGAGGGGACAAAGGCGGTAGCGGCCAATGGCGGGGGCGCCGGCGCCAACGGCAAGCAGAAAGGGGCGGGGGCAGCGGCGACGACGGCCGGCGGCAGTACGGGCGGCAAAGCGGTGAAGCGCAACCCGCAAAAGCCCAGTGCTGCCAAGAAGGCCAAAAGATGAGACGTCTGCCCGGCCAGCAGTTTGTGTGTGAGACAACCCCTTGTAATACAGCATGTGATGCTCGCTTTGGTTTGGCTTGCGTTCCATTTGATGCTCACCGTTGCTGCTTGATATCCTTGATGGTAATCTTGTCAAAACAACGGAGGAACAAGCTACTGCACGAGTAAAAAGATATTGGGGCCAGGATATAAATTCGTATTTGCACGTGTGTGCTGAAAGCCTTAGGACCACATGTGGTGCTGTAGTCATCCCATTCACATCGGCTGGCAGCCATGAGCACACAACAAGTCCTTCAGCATCGCAATCACGGCTGCAGGTTGGTGGTTTGCACAGACCCTGCTGCCTGTGGATGTCAACAGCCTTGGGCTGGTGGGCGGGCCATAAACTATCGCTTCTTCCAGATACGGGGTGGTGCTGCAGCTCTGGAGACCAGGGGCGGTCAGGGGCCGGTGAGCTCATCCCAAGATTGGCGCACGGCAGCGGCACAGCCTTGGATGAAACATGCACTGCACCTGCGAAGTGACGGGGGCGGTGGGTGGGCGAGAGCTGGGGCGACGATGATGGCACGCTTGGGACATAATTGCAGGGTGTTCAAGGCAGGCGCGGCGTAAAAGCACAAAACCACCATGCCTCGTGCTCCGTGCGGCTGAGTAACAAGCGAGGATGTCATGATTGTGTGCTTGGTTGCAATTGGATGGGTTGGCAGCAGGCGCAGTGTGCAGGTGAGAAATGAATGTTGTGTTGAAGAAATGGCCACCACAAGTATCAGCCCTGGCCTCGCGACCTGTTTTGTGTAGTTGTGCTTCCCATGTTGTGCTTCCCATGCCTAGGGACCCCCGGTCCAAAGCGGAAGGTGCCTGCCTGCCTCCGGTCATCACCCTCGAGCCCGGACTCCTTGCGATTCCTGTAAGCTCAGATCTGTGTCCGTCAGACTGCATTCAAAATCCACGTTCACTTGTACCCAGTCTAACTGGCTTGCGAGATCACCATCTGGTAGCCCTATCTGGCTGCGGACCGTCTCAGATAAGGCGTAACATTGTATCACACGAGTTTTGATCGGATACTTATCGCAGAGGCCAAACCAGTGGTGATCTGATAGTGAACGCCTAGCGTCCAGCGTCGTCGCAGCTCTCTCGGAGGATACGGGAACATCATCGGTGTCATTGCGAGGATTATTATTTGGTCAGGTCCAGGGACGGCCATGGCGCGCCAGCCCGTTGTCCGTCCCTGAACGGTGGAAAGGACCTGCAGCTCGTGAGGGCCCGCGGTGGCCCTAGGCTACAGGCATGGCCGGAATACCACCGCACCCATCCGCCGTGCACGGGGGCCCCGCCGGACCATACGCGCCGCAGCCGATGCAGCACGCGAGTGCGGCAAGCGCGCCGCCGCCAGTGCAGAGCCTGGCCCAAGGGGCGGCTGAGTTTTTCTTGTCGAACTACCGCCTCGGCAAGACGCTGGGCATCGGCTCGTTTGGGAAGGTGTGGGCGCCTTGCAGAACTTGGCAGCAGAGGCAGGGCAATGATCCTGGCGCTTGCGGATCACTTGTTGTCCTTGTTGATGGCTGCAAGTGGTCGTCCTGGGCAGCTTTTCGACCCTGCTTTGCAGCAGGAAAGGGCGTGGTTGCGGCAGCTCGCCCGCGACTGACGCTGTACGCAGAGCGCTCGCCTGGGCGGGCCTGTCACTGCTCACCCCTGCTGTCCGCTTCTCACTGGTGTGGCGCAGGTCAAAGTGGCGGAACACATCCTGACGGGCCACAAGGTGGCAATTAAGATCCTCAATCGAAGAAAAATTCAGGCGATGGACATGGAGGAGAAGGGTGAGCAGCTGCACGGAAGCTGCGGCGGAGGCCCAGCCCGAGCCGTGGCTGGGAATTCAAAAGACAGGGTGGCGCAGCTGGGCATGTGCACCAGCTACTCTGTCGCGCTGCGGCAAAGCTGAGGCTCCACATCCGGCTGAGCGTGGGGCGTGCGGCAGCTGCGCCGGCAGCATCGGCCACGATGTCAGGCGGCCGCGGTAGGCGGCAGAGGGGCATGGCAGGCGTGGCCGCGCCGGCGGCACCGGCCATGGGCAGCAACCTGAAAAGAAATTGGGCAACTAGCGGATGCCCCGCACTGCTGTCTGTCATGTCAAGCTACGCGTGGGGGCACAGCTGGAGCGGCTGCGAAACGATGATGCGCACTGCATGGCATCCGCTGCTGTCAGCTAACGGGAGTGGCTGACAGCAGACGCCGGGTCGTCAATGAGAGGCGCGCTACAACAACTTATGCGCGCCCAGCAGCAGAGCGGCAGCAGCAGCACAGCCCCATGGCAGTGGCAGCGGCGGCGGCGGCAGCAGCAGCACCAGCAGCAACCAAGGCAGCAGCAGCAGTCTCAAAGCAGCACCAATGGCCGGATTATAAGTGGCGATTTCCGGAAGCCGCGGCACCGCTGCCCAACATCCCGCTTTGCCCGCATTGGCTTCTCCACCTTGACCACCCTTGCCAGCAGCTGCCGTACCTCAAACCCTCTCCCCACACCCCACCCCGCCCTCTCCCCCACCCCCAAAAAAAAACAGTGCGGCGTGAGATCAAGATCCTCCGGCTGTTCATGCACCCCCACATCATCCGGCTGTACGAGGTCATCGAGACGCCATCCGACATATATGTAGTCATGGAGTACGTCAGGGTGGGTCTGGGGCTTGCCGTTGCACAGTGCACATAGCTTTTGCTTTGGGGCTATTGCTGTGGCGCTTTTGCGATGGGGCATCAGTGCTGGGAGGAGTAGGCTCGTTGCCTCGCCCCGCGGCGGGTGGCAGGGCTTAGCATGTTCTAGAGCTTTGCCTGACGGCACCATGGCGTGCGACTGGGGGTGCTCAACAACCTGGGTACGCTGTGACGGGCCGTCACCCCTCCTGCGCGCGCCCTTTGCTCACTCCGTGTGTGGCGCTGCACAGAATTAAACGCAGCCCTTATCCCAGCGCCTACCTACCTACACACACACACACACACACATACACACACACATACACACACACACGTGCGCGCATATCCGCACGCAATCATGGACCCTCAAACATGCCACCCGCCCTCTGTACGCACCCCCCGCAGGGTGGCGAGCTGTTCGACCACATCGTGGAGAAAGGGCGCCTGCCTGAAGACGAGGCGCGCCACTTCTTCCAGCAGATCATATCCGGGGTGGAGTACTGCCACCGCAACATGGTGGTGCACAGGTGGGCCGTGCGTGCCGTGTCAGGCACACCCCGCGCCGGCAGCCGCCGCTCGCGAGCAGCCGTCTACCAGGCCGGACGCCTCGTTTTGCCGAGCGCGCGTGGTGGCCGTCCAGGCCCGCTGTCTTTTGCACACGTGTGTACGCGCTCGATCACATGCACACCAGAGCAACAGGCGTGGGTCCTGCCACCTCCACCCTGCTGCTTTCCCAGGGACCTGAAGCCGGAGAACCTCCTTTTGGACAGCAGCATGGCGGTCAAGATCGCGGACTTTGGACTGTCCAATGTTATGCACGACGGCCACTTCCTCAAGACCTCCTGCGGCAGCCCAAACTACGCCGCACCAGAGGTGGGTGGTCGTTGCATGCAGCCATTGTAGGTGTAGATGTGTGGGTGTGATGAGGGTGTAAGAGAGAGAGGAGAGAATTGGAGAGAGATGGTGTGTGTGTGTGTGTATGTGTGTGTGCGCGCGCACATAAACGAATGCTTACTTGTTTGGGGTCAGGTTCGGTCACGCGCTCCGACCGCTGCTCCAGCGTTGCCCGCGTGAGCGCGACCTGCACCAATGAGAGGGGCCTACGCAGCGCCACCGCCACCCGAACGCGATCATACGAGCTGCACGCAGCGTGATGCCCGCCTGCCTTTTCCCTCCTCGAGCTGCGATCATGTGCGCAATACAGTTCCGCATTGCACCGTTTGTTCTCTATCGCCTTGTCAACACCCAACGCATCCTCGCATCGCCCCCCCCCCCCCCCCCCCCCCCCC